GTGTGTGTGTGTGTGTGTGTGTGTGTGTGTGTGTGTGTGTGGATAGACGTGTGAGACTGTCGTGTGTGTGTGTGTGTGTGTGTGTGTGTGTGTGTGTGTGTTGGAGCCCCTCCTACAGTCTTGCAGCAGTGTGTGTCTCCCTCTGGTGTTACTCCCGGGCATTTCACTCTACAGACTTGAGCCTCCCGGTTGAGGACTTTCCACGGGACTGCACATAAAAAAAACGAGAGGACCGAACACAAGGATCCGACGTCTGCCATCCGCAGAGATCTAGAGATAGGAATATGTTTGTGATATCTTGAGATTTCTATGTCCAGTTTTTACATGGCTTTGTCTGTTTCTACAGTCCTGTGCGAGTGCCACAGAAGCAGTAACCCTAGTCTGTCTGTCCGTCTCTGTTGTCTTTAAAGATGTTTAACATAGAGCTTACACAGACACACACACACACACATAGAGGAATCTGCATATGTAACTGATATTCACTGCCTAGTGTAGTGCTAAACTATAGGGAACTCTCTCATAAGGCACTACATATTCCCACACACATCCTGTATACAAATAGGAATAAGGCTTCACTGGCCAGATACTTTAATCCATTTTGTCATATCTTCTCAATGACCTCTTTGAAAAAAAAAAAAAAAAAAAAAAATACACTCCAAGGGCTTCTTTCCTCCAGTGGAGTGTGTGGATGGATGTGTCCTGTGTGTGTGTGTGTGTGTGTGTGTGTGTGTGTGTGTCTTCAGCACTAATCCCCATTCATCTCCCTGTTTACTAGGACAAACAGCTCGATTCCTCGCTGTTGGACAAACAGTAGACTAGCGTAGACTGACGTCAGATCAGCGTATCCCTGCGTCTGTTGTACAAAAGAGCAAAAGTTGCTTCTTTTTTTTTTTTCCCTCTGCACTCCCCGGAGGACATATCTATAGTAGGAAAGGAAGCCTGGAAAGCTGTTGTTAAAATACCTGAGACGTTGCATAGGTGATTTACGAGACTTAATCAGGGACAGAATAATAATTGTAGAGAGCTCGAGTGACGATTTTAACTGTGGATTACAAAAGGGCGAAACCGCAGAAGACATATCTTAATCCATATCTCACTGTGCAAGCAGTATTCCACTGGTCATATCTCAGCCAGGCGGCTATGTCAGTGTGTCGTTTTCAATTCAACCGTCATGCTTTCTGCATTATCTGTTTGGTATCACTCCTGCGAGAGGTGATTTCATAAAGCTTTTAACCGTCTGGGCTTCCTCCAGTGGAGGAGGGGTTTACACACAGGACTCCGGTTCCTCCTGGTTCCACGATGGTGAGAGAAGGCCCCTCGACTGAGTTCATGCCTGAGCGAGTGACTGCGTGGGGGAAAGATGTGAACGTTTTTTTGATCGTTTGAAAGAGGAAGTGTAACGATTGATTCGATTTTTGGGGAGTGAGGGGGGGTTTGAAGTTAACTGACATGTCCAGGCTTCCACACTGAGCTGATCCAAATGTAGAAAATAAAGGTGAAAAAGTTTACAGAACTATATGAGCAAATTGAATTTGTCCGTCCACACACTCATAGTACACATGCTTTCTCTTCAGTCAAACGGCTCACAGAGAGAGTAAAGCTTTCTTTGTAAACAAACAAAAGGTAAGTTGACGTTCAGTGTTTCTGTGTGTATCTTTGAGGCCTGACGGATGTCTTGAATGCATTTCCTTCCTCTTAAATCATTTGGAAATCAGCTTTTTTTTCTTTTTTGCCTCCCCGTCGGCGACAGCCATGTCGTTTTTGAGTTGTTCTCATGAACTGAAGGCAATTTCTTCAGATTTGGAACAAACCTCCACCTGGACTCAAGGATGAACTGATGAGATTTTGGTCCATCCCATTCTTCAACAACTTTTGGCAATTTCTTCACATTTGGCACAAACATCCACTTGGGACTCCAGTATGAAGTTAATAGGTTAATAGTTCTTCACCAGTGTTCACTTGCTTGTATTCTTCTTCTTCTTCACTGGCTTTGTTAACACAGAGCTGCGTTCTATTGGTGGCCACCGACTGTCAATCAGTGGAATAGTTTGGAACCGCTGGCGAGACTGCTCAGAAGAATTCAGTTTTTAACAGAAAGAGTTGGGTTTAGTGACAACATGGTCATGGGGTGTGACCACTGTTGCATGAGGCACCCATGGGTGTGAAGAGATCATAATCTCAAGCCTTGTGGGGAAAAGGGACTCTTCTCTCTGTTTTTCATGACCATGACAGTGAAGGTGATCGAGTCGGGCAGCGGACTCACTGCATGTTTTGTGAAGAGTCGTTGAATTATTCATGCGTCGGGATCAGTGCCCCCGAGAGCCATCAGGAAGACATATTGGATTTGTTTTGCATCTGCATCATTAGGAAAATATTCAGATTCATTGCTTTTGTTTTGTACAACTTCAGTTTATCATTGAAGATTTCAAATCATTCTAGTTTAAATTTTGTCTCCAGTTCGGCCTGAAAAGACATTTCAGGATCTCTCATTTGAGAACTCGAACGTCAAAAAGTAAATCTTCAGAGTTCCTCTCCTTCCTCTCGCTCCTCGATGAAGACTAATCTGTTGTGTAGGGCCTACATCCGAGAAGAGTCTTCTTCAAGGACGCATCTCACTCTGTTCACTCTGTGCAAATGAAATGAGTCATTCTGCCATTAAGCAGATTTCGAGCTGCCTGAGCTCCGGCAGACTTGGCTCTGGTTTATGTGCTGCAGACTTCAGAAGAACTATGTGGAGTCTTTGATCTGAAGAAGTGGGTCAACGCCAAATCAGCCTGCGGCCCGCAGGGGAACTTCCAAGAAAAGACGGAAATATGTTCAGAGGAACAGAGTGACTTTATAAACTGAGATGTGTGTCCATCTAGTTTAGTTGTTTTATGTTATTGATCATTGTTTTTGGAATCTGCTTCATATTACATAATGAAGAAGCTGCGCTGACTCTTTAATGTAGACACATTTTTTTCAACTGGGTCGTATGTTGCATTTTTTGGTCAGATTGACTGAAAGTCTTCTCCAAGAAATTAAATTATAAACTGTAGATAATTTATAACCAGTTACATTATTGCAATAATCAGCAGTTATTACTTCATGATATTAGTAGGTTATTGTGTAGTAATAACGAGTAATGCAATATTCTGTAAGATTAAGAACATCAGGAGTTTAGAACCTACACGTAATTAATTGTTTGTGACTTAAATGAGTGTATTGCTTTGACATAACATATTAAGTTGTTACCTTGGATGGAGATTTTGAGGAAATTGATGTTTGACAAACTGCTACGAGCTGTTGAAGCCTGAACCAGAGAGACAGCGACCAGCATCCTCTTCCATGTGAAGCTTCAACTGAGGTTAGTAAGATTTATCATTTTCTGGTCCTTTCTATGAATTTAATTAAGTCTTCGACTGTGGAAAATGTTCTTTTTACCATTAAAATCTCCTTTATTTTTTATTATCAGTGTGTGAAATCACCCGATTCTTTGATTCAGCATCAGGTGCAGGTAGGATGATGCTAAATGCATTATTTTTTTCCATTATATTCAATACATCATCACGTCTGAATGGGGCCATGATCAAAAACAGCAGGCTTCACAAAGAACCTCCGTTGGATATTTAGCATACTATCTTTCACACGCCTTCCCCCTGTTCCCAAAACATCTAAAACTGCACCCTCAGCCTGCCCGCGTTGTTTCTGTCTTTAGTTTCTACAGTATAACACTTTCTGTCGTCCCACAATCAGCACAGACACTGTATAGAGATGAAAAAGACTGGTGTCAGTTGACAATAATGTAATTCCTTGTTAAACTTTTGTTTATAGAGATTTACATCATCTAGATCCTGTCTCAAATATTACTGATCTGAATACCATGTATGTTGATTCGTTTACTGGAGACTTCAGAGATGCTTCACCAGCAGCTGTACTGCAGCTTTCCATGGATTTGATATTTATTCTGTCCATCTGTCCAAAGGTCTCGCTGACACATTGACAATCTGTAAAGACTTCACACAACAGAAGACACTGACTAAACTCACACAAACACAGGAGGAGGTTTTAACTTGTATTTATCCAGGGAAAGTTAGATATTAGTTTGTGTTCACGCAGTTAAATCCTCCATTTCTGGCCAATAAGTGGTATCTGAAGGGGTTGCTAGTTAAAGGGACATTTCACCTTACGTTTTTATGGCATGCCAAACTATGACCTTCTACAAGTTGTCGTTCCTCAACTAATAGACACTTGTTTGGTAGAAGTTACCTGAAGGTTCATTTTTTAAGCCCTGAATAACTTTTGGGGAACAATTTTTATGACAAACTACATAACACATTTTTATGGCATATCACTATTTGTGATATACTATATCATGACTTTATGGCCTACTATACTATGACTTATTACACAATATAAATGATTTTGCATGCCATACCACACTGACATTTTTATATCTTTTGAGACTATAGTATGAATTGTTTTATGACATACTATATTTTATTTTTAATCAAAATATCTAGTCCTTTCCTTTTACTCTTCATAATAAACCTTACATTGGGTTAATCACACAATTCATGTTCTTGTACTTTGTCCCACCCTGTCTGTCTGAATTATATTGCACTGATACATTATTTATGCATATACCCTGTACTACACTATCCATCGATATATATAGTAGTTCAAATTAGCAATAAGAATCCCAAAAAAACTATTGTTTAAATTATTGTTTATTGTGTCAGTGAATATCCGTTAAGTGAACATAAATAGCAACAGTACCGAGTGAAAACTACAGTAAATTAGTTAAACATGAAAATCGTTGCTAATCTTAACACTTGTTCCAACCCAGGACACATCATAGCCCTCTGAGAGCTAACACAGTAGCCGTGTATGATCAATGTGTTGCATTATATACACAATCCACCTGTACAGCTTGTTTATTAACAATTCAAGTGAGGTTAACAACTTCATACTTTCTTTAGAAACGTACTCTGACTGTAGTTAAAATAAATAGTGTCGGAGTGGATGAGGTGAGTGGAAAATATGCAGACATTTGACATAACGGTGTGCGAGGTCAAAACTATGATGAAGTCACGTGATGGGGTGACAGTCACCAAACTCAAAAGTGCTCACAGAAATACTGAGTGAAACATGTCTATATCATGTTATTCTGAGTGTAAACATGCTTCACGGATCAGCTAAGCATGTTAAAAATATAAAGGTCAGTTGCATGTATATGTGCAAAAAAATGTAACGGTGGTCCTTTTCCTATCACTGGAACGTGAATGACACATTAAGTTAAACTAAAAAACAGTCAATAACTGCTTCTCTTGAGCCAGGTGCGAGGACTTCTATCTCAAGCCTTCACTACAGACGCAGCTCGAGCCACCATGAAGGAGAGAGGTAAGGAAAACAAATACTGAACAACCACATACTGCAGCCTAAAACACAGCCAGGGTGTGCAGGGTGGAAATCAGGGGCCCTGTAGACAAAATAGATCATGTTACGATTCACCACAAACCGCACAGTAACGTTATGCATCTCTAAACATTATGAAATCAATTCAGGCACTGGAGTTCTGAGGGATATTGTGCTTAGCATCAACATCTCCGTCATTCATAGTCGTAGTGCCCAATGTAATATCATTGGTCCATGTTAGGGATCAGGATGAACGCTTGCATCTGTCATTTTAGGGTCTTGAGTCAGAGCGGCTGGTGCCATGTTGCTCAGAGAAACGGCTCCGGTGAGCGTACAGCATCATGGGTGACCAGCCGTTGCACCGCCATCTCTTCTCGGTCGGGGCAGACCGCTGTAGAGCCGGGTGGCGAGGATGGGGCTTCAGGGATGGGAGCGCTTCCCCCATGAGGAAACAGCCGATAAGAAGCCGGGTGACATTCCACAAGGACACGCGCTCTCGCTCTCACTCACCGCTCTTTTTCAGGATAGTGGGGGTGGAGTCTGTGGCGGTCCTGAAAGTGACAAGCAACAGTGGTACAGTACGGTTGCATTTGTCTTCAGATTAGATCAGCGTCTTTGAATGCGTTTTTTGATCCTTACCTGATTTGGTTGATCGGCCAGCTGGAATGCACCGGTGTCGGCGCTGCAGAGCTGGGGCTCATCAGCATGGCACTGTAGATGTTGGCTGCAACCACCAGGATGCAGAGGAGGATGGGCCCAATGATGGCGCCCTCCAGACCTAGATAGTAGGCTCCGCCTGCCACTGCCAGACCTGTCAGATACGGGTGTCCACCCCTGAGACACGGACACAAGAAAACAGATCAACACAAATAAATACCTATAAAATACACAAAGTTATGTAATTAGAAATGTATAGAAATGTGTAGTGGTATTTTGTTTTTACATATTTGACCTCACAAATACCCAATATAAATCAAAGACACAAGCTGGTAACAGTGTCACACATACATACCCTGATATGTCAGAGTAGATAGCTGTATCTACAAAGTACGTTGGGAGCAGATGGCAGATCAGCAGCAGCAGGGCCTTGACACCTTCGCCCTGCGCCAACCACAGGTCACACATTGCCGGCAGTGCTGCCCAGTAGGTCCCCAAGAACGGTACCGCGCCCAGGATGGCAGCCAGAGCTTCAGGCCAAGGGAGAAGGATTTGAGGAGTGAGAAAAACACTGAATGTGACTTGGCAGGTGCAGGTAAAGTGACGACATTATCTGCTGTGAACACGCTGACTCACCAGAAGGAATGAAGACTATGTTGATCCCAAACATGGTGTGAGTGAGCCAAGTGTAGAGGCCGTAGAAGCCAGCCATTTTCAGAGAGGCGTCAAACACTCCTCTTCAAAACAAACACACACACGGTCAAGAATAACCTCCTTTAGGTGCATGTTTTGATTGTCTACATAGTTTGTGTGTGTGATTACCTGATGGCCTCTTCTACAGACTGGCCTATGATATTTGAGGAGGGTCCAGGCTGGGAGAGGGGGGTCAGGCGGAGCACCCATTTAACAGGTTTGTAGTATTCACCACTGGAGCTCAACAGGTAGAAGAGAGTGGTCAGGAAAATCACCTGTGTATGAAAACAGCATAAATATGAGCAGGTTTGCTGTAGCCAAACAAATTCACATTATCTAATCTGTCTTTACACTCGTAAAAACCCATTAAGGAACAGAGTCCTCTCGTACATGTGGCCCGTCTACTTTAGAACAACCCACAGATGTATCAAGATGTCTCTAGATCTCCAAGTGAGAATTAAGGGATGAATAAAAGTATTTTACCTGCGCTATCCAGACCATGAAGACATATATTTTAAAAAATATGTATGTGATGGCTAACATAAAATGTCCCCCACCAACCACAACAAACAAGGTTACTTAATGTTGGTAGACTGTGCAAACACCTGGCACAACAATGGCAGGAATATTGTTTCATCCCTGAAGTCTGATATCTGGTATTTTAGTACGTATATTATTAGATCAGCTGACACGTTTGTGCTTGTTAGCTACGAAAGAATAAACATGCAGTAACTGTGATCTGAAATCTGAGTGCAAGCAGTTTATCCTCAGTTGAAATTTGTGCTGGTTTTATTGTAAATGAATAACCTCGTAAATAAATGTCAACAAACCCAACCAGTGTCATTGTGTGTTCGATGGTTTAGTGCTTCGTACCAGACTCAGGACAAAGTTGAGCAGAGCCGTGCCGCTGTGGAACAAGACGGTGAGGAGAGTTGTTGTGGTGGAGATGAGGAGGCCGACATTTCTACTCATTACCACCCATAAAGACTCCAGGATCTTCAAAACAACAACAGGGCAACAGTAACGGTGTCATCCACAGGAGAACTATACACACATCCGAGTTAATATTTGATGCAAATGACGACGCAGCCCCTAGTCGTTAGTCAACCTTTATTCCATTTAGTGTCACAAATGTTGATGGGTCCTTGAAAGCAAAACACATGCAGATCCTCGTGCAGAAGATGGTGTTAAACACAGTCGTACTTACAGACAGCAGAGTCTCAATGTTTTCCTGCAGAAAGGAGGCGATGTCCTTCCAGTCAAGGATTTCGCCGAGCCAGCTGTTCCCTCTCTGAACCATCATCTTCTGTCCGCGGTGCCGTCCAGAGTGGGTCGTGTTCTGGGAAATGGAATATTTTGAGTATTGTATTTTTTTAAAGGATGAATCTTTCCCAGACATGAAGAAGTTAAATTGACTTGACTGACCTTCACAAACCAGGAGTGGTACAATCGGTCCCAGAGCTCCAAAACCTGTTTCTCAATCACAGCTGTGTTGTTCATCTTGTCCCCCAACATCTTCTGGAGCTGCACAAGATGAGAAAGATTCAATGCATAAAAAGGTGGCTGAAGTATTGGGGTTTTTTTTTCTTCCATAGTTTGAGTCAGAGAAATCAATGGGAAACATACAGGCACCTTTTATTCTTACCTTTTGAGTTATCCATTCTCTACCGTGTTGATAAACATTAGTAGCAGCTGAATTGAGAGCCTTCTGCACCACACGAGCCTCTGGAAGCCAACTAGAGGAGGACGATGTAACAAGAAGATGATGAGAAGTTACAAACTCCAAACACAAAAGCAAAAAATACAAAAAAAGGAGTCGTACTTGGCCCATTCCGGATGGTTAGACACAGTCTCGTTGATGAGGTTACTGGTTACGTCGATGATGTGAACACTTTCATGGTGCACCTAGAAAGATGGACGTTACTTTGCTGTCAGTGCCTCTGAAATGCAGTGAAGTAAAAAAAAAAAAAAAAAAGTAAAAAAAGTAACAAAGACAGTAGTACCATAGCGGTGAGCAGTAGAGCCATGAGCAGGGTCCCTGTGACCAGGAGGAAGATGATGAAGATGCTGATGATTTTATCCAGAGATCGCTCCAACCACAAGATCATCTACACACATAGAGGACACAGACAGGAAGACATAGACGACAGAAGGGTGGGGGTGGGGGGGGGTAGATACAAAGTCAGCAGAATTCTGAAGAGTTTGAAAACATACAGTGATCAGACACATGGAGAAACCTGCGTCCTTCCCATGTGAAGAAGCCATTTTGGATCTAAAGGCTGCCCCCCCTTGGGCCCTGAGAAGAGCAAGGTAGTCGACTGAGAGAGCCAGGGTACCTGTACCCATGCATGCACACATCCTCGCACTTCAACATGGAAACATGCAAGCGAAAAACTCCGGCCGTGTGTTCTGAATGCATGACTATCCTGTCAGTATCTTTGATTTTAAAAAATTGTTTGCGAGCCCGTCCATCAGTCTTTCAAAGTTCATTCTGTTGAAATTCTTAACTCAGGTTTCTCAATGCTCCAAAACTGCATCAACAGCCAGCTCATAACAGCATCAGTCTTTGTATGCGTGTGTTAATGTCACACAAGCCATGAGCTGAAATCAAGTTACTGTTAGTGGACACCTCTCTCCCGTAAGGCTATGTCCTCATGATTTGTCATTGTATTGATGGTGAAATGATATGGCAGCAAAGGTCCCACTGCATTTCAGCTACACAATGCGACACAGTCTAGAATAAAGCGTTTATTATTCTAGGTGAATGTTGAACTTTTTTTCTATAAGAATGTACTTTACAGATTAAGGATAATCTGATTAATGTGGATTAAATCCAGTATAGCAAAAAAAAAAAGTGGTAAACAAAAAAATGGAAACACCGCATCAGCGAGGACTTACTCTTGATTTTAAAATAGCCAATTCAGGCACATAACCATGAAAGTTAGTGCAGTATGTTGAATACCAATTAGCAAAAAATCACCAGCACTTAATGCAACACAAGAAATCTCAACAATCGCACCAACACCTCTGTGACATGGTCTCATCAAAAACAGGGCATTCTCTGCTTCATAACTTGGCACTCGGGTTACAGAGCCAATGCACAACAACAAACACAACAAAAGGTTAGAAAGCTCTGAGCTCTGAGGTTTCACCATTTCCCCTGCACCTAGATCAGTTTATGTTTAACTCAGGTATCAGGTACTCAACACCGAGCCGTTTCTGTAAAGCATCTATCTTGTAAGTCAACAGGACAATTATAATTCACTACCAAGGCTTCTTATATCACCATTCAACATTGGTTTCATGTCAAAAACCTGCCATGACCAGGATCCAAGATCTGAACATAATTGAACCTTTAAAGAATAAGGCTAACGATAAATAATAACAAATCTCATGAAAAGACCAAAACCAACAACATGTCAGTCCATCTCTCATTACTTACTTTGAATACACAGGGAACCCTTGTTAGTCAGATACATTTCTTGCTGGTTTGGGATTTGTTGTTATTAAGTAAAATATAGAACACTTCCAGCCCCATCCTTTAAAAAAAAAAAAGTTAATTTCCAAAACACATCCTTTGTCTTTTAAAACTGGAGCGTCTAACATTCTCCTAAATACAAACATCATATAATAGCACAACAAAGAAAAGTAAAGCTCTTTTAAAAAAAAAGGTAAAAGTTTGCCCACAATGTTTTTATTTAGTGTCGCTTCATATTAACAAAGTGTTCGGTGTTTCCATTGTTTTGTCCATCCTCACTCCCACCCATGAAATCTCCTGCGTAACCACATCTCTCCACGGGTTCCATGGACAGCGTTTGTCCTTAATCTCTATAAATAACTTAACATCAGGCTTATCAGCCAACACATATTCACATTCAGAAACGCCGCCCTCTCCTCCCTCTCAGCTCTGCTCCGTCTACATCAGTCATCTCTCCATGCAGCCCAAACACTCTCAAGCACGACCTGCCAGTCAGACCACAGCGGGGAAGGTACGAACGAGGCACAGAGGCACCGGTCGTAGCTTCCTTTCAAATAAAAGCACGACCCAGCGAAGCAGCGAGAGGACAGACATGGAGACAGGATGAAGGGGTGATGGCAGTGGATGGGTAAAGCACCAGTCTAAGCTTGCGCTCACGCCTTTACACGCATCCACACACGTAAACAGGTTTGTTTCCTTATCCTTCTTCTCTCGCTTTCTCTCATGCATACGCTTTCTGTGAGTCTCTCGTTCTCTCAGCACTCTGCTCCTCCAAATCATTACCTGCTTGTTAAGCCAATGCCAGAGCTTGGGGAGGAGACAAAGAGACATTGGGAAGATTATTTTTTTTGGAAAGACCTGCGAAGCAGTCATCACATGTACCCATGCGACAAGAACACAACCTCTTTGGGTACAGGCAGTGAGGGATCAGGAAGTGGCCCGTGGCAGGCAGGATTTAACTCCAGTGTTTGAGTGTGGACTGGCACAGTGGGATTATAAACACACACCATAACTACATCAAAAAAACATCAGGAGAAAGACATCTTTTAATGTGTTCATGTATCAATCGGCCCTGTATTTGTTATGGCCAACATGTTGGCAAACAACTGCCTCCTTATACATCCAGCAGGCAAGGATCAAAATTGTCATTTATTTTGAAGTCTTTTGGAAATATCTGGTTCTTTAGCTGCTAAACAGGAAGTGTACGGTACAGTGTCGGTTTACCGGAGCTGCATGATGCATCTCCAAACAGCGCTATGAGCAGTGAGAGTGGATCAAAAACAATGAGCTGATAGACGTTAAGAAGCTCCGTAAAACAGAGGAGCTGCAGAGTCGGGTGACACACCTTTCATTTACTTTCATACAGTTTTGATATAAAAATATGAATTTGTGCAGCTTCATCGTCTGCTTTGACTAAATCTAAGATTAAATTAGTATCTGACAAATAAGCACAAAAGTAGACCATGGCGCAAATAAATTACCAAAACTCAGTTGGTTTTGATCCCTAAAATGCATTTAAACTTTGCCATTTGTTTCCTGTGCTGTGTCCAAAATCTGAATGAATACATGATTAAATTTTTTGTTAGTTTGTTCTTGAAAAAGGTGATTACATACAGTATACCCAAGATGTCCTTCTGCACTCATGTACTGAAGTCCTGAGGGATAATTGCATCAGAAAAGTCACCATCAGGACAAATGATAAGGAACAGATCCGACACAATGACCGAAACCGATCTGAAGTGAACAATTCAACACACAGAATTTAAATTCTTGCTAAACTATTTCAATACTTACAGAATATCTTATCCTGTAATATTTGAACTGCAGCAAACCAGTAGTCCTGACCAAACAGTCCTTGATAGCCACTGATGGCCCTTAACTGTGGTCAGTGATGAATATACTATATCAACACAAAATAATGTCTAACAGGACGTACAAGTGAAACATAAAAGGTGTGTGTGTCTGGATGAGGATGTGTGAAATCAAAAGAAGAGGAAATAAGGACAGCGCCTGCACCAGCGGCACGCGGAGATCAGTCAGAGACGTTACCTTAGTGTCGATACGCAGCAGGAACTGAGCCAAGCCTTTGATTGGTCCAGGCAGCAGGGCCCCCTCTCGCTCACGTCCAAGCTTCTCCATCACCGCCCACCACGAGATGAGAGTCCGCTCTGCAAAGCCCTTCAGGCCAAAGTGGACCACCAGCTTCTTCAGCACCCACACTAAAACATAAAGGCAACAGTAGTCTGTGTACAGTAGAGCAAGAAGCATGTGAAAGGGAGTCTTCATGCATGTGTGTGTGTGTGTGTGTGTGTGTGTGTGTGTGTGTGTGTGTGTTACCAGCCACAGGGATAGGCAGCAGTTGAAGAATCCAGAGGTTGAGCCAGACCTGAACCAGTACAATGGCCCAGACCAGTAGGATGAAGTAGATATCACTGGCTCTTTTGGGGCTTTTCTCTTTCTGGAAGAGGCCGGCTGGTAACGAACGAAAGCCGCGAGGGAACCCAGGCGTGGAGGTCAGGGGGCCTACAGACTGCACACCACCTTGGAAGACATCAAGGGGTTGGCACAGAGGAAGCATATAGAGGAGGAAAAAGAAAGAAGCAAAGAACATTAGTTTGTTGTTCAAGAGCAAACCACTGGTGAAGCTAAAGCAGAAGTTTCTTGAGCTGCAGTTCCTCTAACGGCTACTAGAAGCTGGGTCAGAAAAAAGTTGTCTGTATGGAATCAAAATGCAACTTCTCTATTAAAATACAATGTCATTTTCAGATGAATGCCCCCTCTCTGCCTTGATCTAGATTAACTCCAGGAAGCTCCAAAGACTATCCATTACACAGCTTTGTTGAATACTTGATTCGGATAGTTCAATTACAAAGTCTGTTGTTTCTTTATAGCAGACCGAAGAAGCAAATTATATTTAAATCATTAAGATCATTTTGAAATAAATGTTTTTTGCCAAATGATTCATCTCTTCAGTAAGTAGCCGTGTAATAAGCGGGATAATGTGCAGCGATGGGGTTCCTGTCGGGGTTTATTCCGTATTAATGACCAGCTCGCTATTCATTAATACCCCTTACACACACACTATCTATAACAAACAAGCCTCTAAAATACACAGAGTTGAAAGTGAGCTCTCTTACCTGTAGCAGAGTTTTCACTTGGCTCAGGTTTCATCTGAAGGTTGCTACAGGAGATTGCCATGTAGATAGTGTTAGCAGCGAAAGACAACACCTGCCCCGACAGCTCTCCTGAGGAAGAGGAGAGACGGAAAACATGAACACAAAACAGCTGAGCATAAAATAACACATTTCTTTGTGTGTCCTACATTGTCTAACAGTCCTGATTAAAAAAGGGACAAACTGCCCTCCTCAAGTTGCCTATGCTTTAGGTAAAGCTGTACTAAGATACTGTTTAACTTAATCTCAGTGCTGGTTGAGCTCGAGGAACAGAAAAGAAGAAGTATGATAAAGGAGGTGTATTTTTACGCTGTTGAAAGGATAACAGCTGCTCCACGAGATTCTTTCATTAGGCAGCGCATCAAAGTTAATTATAAACTGATTTGACCCCCTTGACTTTTAAAGCAATCGTTTGACATTTTGGGAACTTGTTGAGAGTTAGATTGAAGATTGATACCACTCTCATGTCTGCACAGTAGCCAGATAGTTTAGCTTAGCATAAAGACTGTAAACAAAGGGAACCAGCTAGCCTAGCTCTGTCCAAAGGTAACGAAGTCCACCTACTGCACCTCTTAAGATCACAAATGAACACGTTATTTATACTGTTTAATTCATACAAAAAAACATTTACCACTAACTCGTATATACCATATTTATGAATGGACTTGTCACTGTGGTACATGTACATGTGTGTGTCCATTAATCTTCACCTCTGCCAGGATCAGGTGGTTTCTCCTGGGATCCCACGATGATGAGTATAACCACAACCACGAATAGGGGCACTCTCCACGAGCCGGTCAGAGACACTAAAAACAGATGCAGACATCAGGCTGGTGACTATGCATGTTGTTGCTATTGTGGAGCAACATGTTGCTCTAGAACTGCATAATATTTTCATACATTATTAGTTATTTCTTGGCAGAAATAGTGAGCCTTGTTTTGCCATAAAACTATAAAAGAAATACATAAAGATCAAATAATGAGATAATATTGATCACACACTCCTTGCTCTCTTCTTGAGCAGAACTTCCTTTTTAATATCGCTCAGTCACTTTTAACATTTCACGCTTGAAGGTCAACATCTCTTCTCAGCACGCCTTAAGTGTGCTAAAAATACCAGAGACTTTATCATCTTACTATGCAACGCTGCACGCGCTGCGTCAATTAGACTTCACTCGTATCTCACTTTTGGAAAAACAGTGTTTTCACATTTTCTTAAGCCTCCTTTAACTGCTACCTGCCAAGTAGGCAACATTTGAAGAAATCTTCCCGCGGGCAAAAAAAAAAAAAAAAAGGGGATTTGAATAAAAGTAATGGAATGACAACCAACATGTCTGAGCAGACTCTCCAGGCTGCACACTCACCAATGTAGAAGAGGGAAATGGCCCAGACAGGAAGAGCCAAAGCCCTCAGGTAGTGCTCAGTGCGGGGACTCCACTTGAAACAAACCACCAACAAGTAGCCAAACACCACAGTGCACACCTGAGAGGAAACAAGAGGCACAGTGGCAACACGATAACAATAGAGGGGATGCTATGGGGTACCGTCACACCAAAAGGTAAACGTTGTAACTTTTGTGCCATCGATGCTTCTTCCACATGCACAGTATTGTTTCAAATTGGTCAGTGTTTATAATGTATACTCGAAAAAGACTCAGCAATCAGTCTATATTATTGCCAATCTGCTGGTGTTTGATAGGAAAAGCATGAAATGTGATGCTCCAGTCAGCTGGTCACAAAGGTCTTCGCTGGTTCCACTACACACAAAGACACCTTTCGATGTAATCTAATATCGTGTCCTCGTTCTATTTTTGGACAAGGGCCCTGTGTCAGTCTACCTCAGCATTTAGAGAAAGGACAGGCTGTCTGCGGAGGAACATTTAATACAATTTGTATCTAGTCAAAGCGTAGCTGGATTCAGGCCCCTGCAGCTGTTTACGATTAAATATCGATCGATCTGCAGGAAACTGCAAGAAACTTGATTAGGTAGGGTACAGGTTTAGGCATATGTTCCAATTGTGTTGGGATGATCACACCGTGTCATCCTTTAACAATGTTGCTAGTAAACCTTAATGATTCTGAGCTCATGTTAATTAAACTAGACAAACTAGTTTAAGTAGGGCTGCAAATACCAAGTATTATTATCATTTACCCCCCACATTACTTATCAGTTAATCATTTGGTCTATGTCAGATAACAGTGAGAATACCAATCACAATTCAGAAATAAGTTATTATCAAAGAAGGCCTAGAAAACCAGCAGATATTCAGACTGGAGAAGCTGGAACCAGGAGACTTCCAAATGAATGAATCAAGCATCAAACTTCTTTATTTCTTTGTCCATCAACTCATCAATTAGTTATATTAGCTTCTTGTTTTATTTGTCTGAATTTCACAGATAACTCCAGACAACATCAGAGGAATAGTATGCATGATTTTGCATAAATGTTCCAGACAGTGATGCAAACAATACTGGAGAACATGTTATTTTTAATAGTGTGGTATAGCTCTCAACCGTGTGGTTTGTTGGGCTGACAGAGACCTCGCCCACCCAGTAGCATCCACTTGGAGTGACAACAGAGGGTCTTGTTGTCACCCCGGATGTACTATACCCACTGTCCATTCACTCACCCACGCAGTGTAGAAATAGTCCAGCGCGGCCCCGATGATCCCGCAGATGTGCCCGAGGATCACCTGCATGCCGACGACACTCCAGAAAAGGTAGAGGAAGTAGACCAGCGGCGCCCCGGCCCCGATCACCAGCAGCACCGTGAGCCTCTCCAGCACCAGCCTTCCCATCGCCTCCACCCCGTAGTTCACACACCACACCGGGATCAGCAGGGTCCCCACCACGATGGGTGTCCCGGTTTCCTGCAGCCCACTGAGCCACGAGCGGCCGAGCCGAGCCAGGGAGTACTTGAAGGGGTGCAGGAAGGTCCCGCAGAGCACTGCCCAGAGCAGCGGGCGGAGGAAGGCCTCCAGGATGAAGTAGACCAGCACAGAAGCTCCGCAGCATATAGCCACAAAGATCATCGCCCCCGTGTTGTAGAAGGCCTGTTTAATGTTTTTATCAAACTTCAGGGACGACGGCTGGGTTAACAGTTGGCTCATCATGCCGACGGCCGGCTGGACGCTCTCGGAGAAAAAGACGGAGTGAGGCCGGCCAGTGAGAGGGCTCTCCGGGGGAGAGACAGAGGCGGGCTCCGGAGCCGATTCCTCCTCGTCTGCCATGTTCCCTGATTCCACCACTGTAGTCCACCCGAGGGATCGCTTCTTCTTCTTCTTCTTCTTTTGCTTTTAATGGCGGTTGGCAAATAGCTCTCGGGTGCATTACCGCCCCCCACAAATCTGGAGTGTGGTCTAAGGGTCTATATTCTCTCTAAACCAACAACAAAACAAGGAAAATAATTAACCAAACAAAAGGAAACGAATGGAAAATAATAATAATAATAATTCTCAAATTATTTTCATTAGTCTTGTTGACCCAAAATACTGTAGAAGAAGTTTCCAACATTTGTTACTAGAACTTTTCTTTAGTATATTACTGATGTTTTCCTCTTCAATCTCTTCTTCACAAAATCCTACTACTACCAGTTTATTTATTTATTGTGTATGTCCTGTTATTACTATTTATTATACTATTAATGGTGTAATAAATCATTATTATCATTGTTATTATTATTAAACATTTGATCTAAAGAAACAAATAATGTTCTTGTTCGTCTTTTAAGTTGTAGTGTTGCATACTATATAAACTATGTGATTTAAAAACTAGTATGCAACAGATATAGTGGTAGACATGGTTGAAGACACCGATACAATCAGAACAATATAAAATACACTATATTCACATGAACCTATTTACAAATAGCAAATAATATCATCAGTATTTTTTTAAATACTGAGGTAAAGTGTCCTGCGTGTGGCTTTTATGGATAAGAAGTGTTTTTATCTGGAATGGTTAGAAATATGACGTTACAGTTGGCTTATGGTTACAGACAATATTTTGATTATTACAAGCTATTTTTTATGTAAATTTTGCAAAATGAAAATGTGTGCATGCGCCAAAGAAGCAGGCCCTTTGAATTAATGTTCATTGTTGAATATATTATAAAATCTTGATTTTATTAAATTACTAATATAGGGCATTTTTCTTTTAATTACTCCAAAAATGTTTCTGTTGAAGGCAAGACCAAAGTAAAAATGTAGTTTTAAGATTTTCAATTTTCTTTTCTTATATTTTCTTTTATCATTTTTATTTTTTATCTCTCTTAATCTCCTATGTCCTTATACTATACTTATATAGCTGTCTGTTCATGCACAACATCTGTACTGTCTTGTGTGTATTGTATTGTTATTTCTTCACAGTTTTATTGATAATAAACACAACCATGGCAGATTATTTCAGTGGGAGGTGTTTTTATACAGATTAAAAGGCTACAATAACAGCCTGGGGGAAAAATGAGTCCATGTCTAAGAAACTGTTCAATCCACAGTTTGCTTAAGTTTAGTGTGTTATTGCTTGTAATAGTAACTCATTAGCAGCCTCTCTGTCTTTAAAACACAGTCACAGTGGCACATTATTAATAAACAAACACAAACAGAAAGTGGTTGAGAAAGTGGGGAAACATCTTGAAAGGAAATTATAGAAAAGTTGAGCCAAACATAAGAAAAAGTTTATGAAAATCTTTTACATGGTAATGTAGGCAGTACCTAAAACCTTGGAAAATATATTTTGTGATAGGCCCTGTACAAACAATAAACAAACCATGATTTTTTTTTGCAAAGCATGAAATCCATATAAAGAGGGTAAAAGAACAGGAAGAGTTTGTGCAAACGGCTGTGAGCTGCTTGTTTTCTTTTGTCCTCCGAAAACCTTTTGTGTTTTAGCCAAGTTCAACATGAGACCCTGTCTTCTCATCATCGCTGAACAGCGGGATTTTGAAATCATTTCCAGATTTCCCAGTGCATGCAGTATTTCGAAGACTTGTGAGATTCATTTATAATCATTTTTAGTTCTCATACTTTTTAAATACCTGGAAGCTATCATAAATACTGAAAATAACTGTCCTATTCTTAATATAACACTACTCTTGTTTTGTACTGACAGTACATGACACCTCTACAATATAGGTTTAATAATGTGTCAAGATCTTCTTTATGAGTTCAGAGTAATGCTATAATATAAATATACTCTATATTGTGTTTAATATATCTAATGATGTCTCTTTGCACAAAGTGCACACTTGAATGTGGCATCAGACAACTTATTTATTGCTGCATCATGTTCTCTTCCCTCTTTTTTCCACTATGTGGTCTGCTGCGCTTCATTATGGCGTTCCCATTAGTAAGTAGAAGGTGAGGGCTACTATGAGCAGTAAGCAGAGGGGAGAGTTGAAGGTCTGGTAGGCCGTAGAAGGCATGAAGATGTCCTCGTACTTATAGATGCTGATCATGTGGTCACTGACAGGCGGATTGTCGATGTCATGCCTCGTGATGGAACCTGTTGGAAAAGGGAAGACGATGTAAGATGAGATGAAAGATAAAAAATAAAATAAAAAGCACAAAGACAGTTGACTTGATGCTGAAGCCTGATCAATCACCTTGTATGGCAGGTCCCCATGCAAACAGGTAATACCATGACAGGTGTAAGTCCACAAGTGTTTCCTCTCTGGGGACATATAGCGGTCGCTTAAAACGGCAGGTCACCCGGTTGTTCTCAAAAACGCCCTCTTCGTCTCTTGCAGGGTTCCTTTTTATTTCCTTGGCCCACTGGCCGACGTTGTAGAAGTGATGAATCCGTACACGTCCGTTATCGTCATGGACACAGCCCATGACATCGTCTCCTCCCTGAGGGAATAGGAAGGAATGATGTATTCATCTGCTGACAAAAGGTTGAATTCTGATACAAAATGTAAATAAAGTTATTGGGACTGATACTATTATTGCTCATGCTTGGGTCGTTATAATACACACAAGTGTTAGTTTTCTTTTTTTTTTCTTGTAGGAATAGTCAATAGGAGAAAAACAAGATGCGGGGTATACCCGCCAGTCAATCACAGGGCTGACACATGAAGACAGAAAACCATTCAAGCTCACATTCACACCTATGAATCTATAACCTAACCTGCATGTCTTCGGACTGTGGCCAGAAACAGAGAACATAAAGAAAACCAACGGCAACATAGGAAAACATGCTAACTCTACACAGAAGAAAAGCTGGAGGGTTAAAACCCAGAACAGTGCTGCACACCGCACCACCATGCTGCCCTTGATAATCAATCAATTAACTTTTGATTAAGTGCCCAGCCTTCATGGGGGCCACAACATTTATGATGTTTGTACATGCTAATTGGTGTGCAAGTTCAACAAACCAGTAAACAATGCTGAAAAAATGATAACATTGAATAAAATGTGTTTGTGTTGATTATATGGAATTATGTGCAAACACATTAAATCAATGTTTCTCAAACCTTTTGGTTTGTGACCCCCTAAAATGAAACAATGCTTTCTTACGACCCTCATCATGGGTGATGGCTTCAATATTAACACGAATTGTGACGAGTTCAACCAAAGACTGACTTTTCCTTCTCAGATTGTTACATTTGAACAAGTGACCTCAAAGAGTTCACAATATTTCATGTGAAAATGGCAGAAATAAAAATGGGAGGAAAGTAAACATCATTTTGTATAACCTGCCTCTGAACATCTTGTAAGCGCTAATAGTTAGCTTGGCTGCCTTAAAAATAATTTCATTAAAAGTATTACTATACTGTATATAAAGGTTTTTACCTTCATGCCAAACAAATTAAAGAAAATTATGTAAACAATGGGCAATTACATTTGGTATAAAAGCCTTCAAAGTACATTTTTGTGTAGTTAATCATTTGGTTTAATAGTGACAGTAAGCTCTTGAAAATATGCATAATTCGCACCACATCCATGTGTTTAATTACAGATTATGGACCATACATTGGCAGTAACTTGGTCTGATGCAACATGTAAAAGTAAAATAAGTTGTGCTATAAAATAACGCACATACTGTGTGTGTCATACTGCCCTGAACACTCAACAGCCAGAGTTGTTGTTGTGTAGCTGCTCACCATTTTCTTGTCAGAGGAGAAACCTACTGCCACCCAGCCGTCTGTGTCTGAGCTCATCTCATACTCCACATCTGTCCCGATGCGGCGATAACTCAGAAAGTAGTCACACGTTTCTGCATCACACCCTGGCTTTCCATATCTGTACATGGACAAATAAATACGTTCACTTTGAGGCCCTATTCTGACAAATAGATTTCATTAGAGAAGGTGAGATTCACAATATTCACAATATCTTGATAACATAACTGGGGCAATTTTTAGGGTTATTTCACTCAGGTTTCAGAGAATAAATACAAAGATGAGAAGTCCATATTTAGCTCCAGCTTTAGAAAGTCAAGCGACAGCATCTAGGTTAAAGCAGCCTCTGGGAATTCATCTGCACCAGAGCTCTGTTCAGAAAGGGAGAGCTGGCAAAATATGTATCCTTCTCTGACCTTATGCAGCCTTTGGTTACTCCACAGTCGACGACTTTGATCTTGGCAAAGGGATCCACTGGTGGGGCGGTGGGGAATGGATAACCTGCAAAATGCAAAATCAGCAATTTGTTGGTTCCACACAAAAACGACTGATGTTTGTTTTCAAGACAGTCAAAGGGCCAATTAGGGGGAGGCCGTCTGCACTGTGTGCGTGTGTGTGTGTGTGTGTGTGTGTGTGTGTGTGTGTGTGTGTGTGTGTGTGTGTGAATGAGAAAGAGTGAGGAGGAGGGGTTGGGCAGCTACCACGGGGAGCTGGCCTGGGTGCTGAAAGGCCTTGCATAGTGCAGGTTGGATGCGAGACAAAATGAGCAGCACGTGATCAGTTTCTGTTTACAGTTCTTGTTTGATTTTCTGTTAAACTTGTATGATAGAAGTTTGTCTGTTGCGCATGCCATGTAAACCAAAAACCACCAACTGTGAATCGTAGCACAATGCATTAGAGCCTTACCGTCATCGGACAGATATCTGGACTCCAGGAACTCGGAGGCGAAGGTGCTGTAGGAGTCCTTGTGGGGCTCCTGGTGCCCCGGCTCTCCGTGCTCCCCATGGCCGGCCCGGAGTGCTCCCTCGTCGGTGGGGCTCGGCGCGACCCCCAACCATCCGCTCTGGATCAACAGCACCAACAGCTTCACGAGCCTCCGCAGGAAAATCATGGCCGAATGATGTCAACAAAGAAGCGATAAAAACGACTAAACCAACTTAAAATCAAATCGAATCCTCATTATTGTTTGACTTTAGGTATCTTCGCAGGTATCCATCGCAGCGTCACCAAAATCATCCCTGCATCCCAATCCCGCAAGTCTGTTTGTCTGTTTGTCGCAGGTTAGTGGGGGGGATTCAGCGCCGATGACCGTGTGATTAAGAAACTAATCCAATCCTAAATTACCCCTTATTGCAATCGTACCAGCTAATTCAGCTACGCGGCCGTAATCCTCTTTGAAATCCGAATCTCGATGCCTAGCAGTGCTCTTTCATCTTCGCATATTTTTCAGTCGGAGTATTGGCCGGATGAATGGTTTCGCCCGGCCTCCCTCTCTTCTCCCTCCTCAGTCAATCACAGTAACATCCAATGAGGAGGCGCTACGTGCTATTATCAGGATCAATCAATTGGGGATTAGGCCAGTGATCGAGAGGGTATTTCACACACAATCTCTCAGAGATGTGGAGTATATAAATGGACTGCTCAAAAAGCCTGCCACAGATGAGCAAAGAGCAGGAATAGGCTTAAATGAAAAACAAAAAAAAGACAAATTGGTTGGAAATAAAATAATTGGCATCGCTATGATGTTAGTCCCCCTATGCATAGACTCTTAAGACGCTAAAAATAAAGTCTATAAATAACTTGATTGTCTATGAAGATGTTATCGTCATTTGTTTGTGCAATTACATTTTAAAAGTGAATTGGCCTACTGTTTTAAGTCTGCCACGCTGGAATAACATTCAGAAGAAATCCTTTATTTACCTATATAAAATAAGCTTTAAATAAAAATATAATCTGCTTAAAAATACTGTAATCGGCCTATAAAATGCCCACCATGTTTTAATTGCTAATTGCTTTGTTTAAATTAGCTTTATTTCCTGCTGCATTATCTTGGATGAAAAAGAAAACCTGGCACGGATCCCCGGACTGATAATATGCCAATTTGCAGATCCAAATCTATAGCGGCCTCGTATGTACTCTCTTGTTTCTTTAATATTGTGCAACTCAGCTTTAATTTGAGTATTTAGTTCACAAGGTCCCTGTGTGTCTCATTCCAACTGCTGAGGGAACACTGCCTCTAGGTCACCCTGTAGGCGTACCCACAGTACTGGTGGCATAATGCAACTAAACAAGACATCAAAAAACATCATCTAACCATCCTCACTCACATCCTCGAACTGTAACTCCATCCTGTTTTTTTCAGTGGCTGTACACAGTCCTGCCACTTGATGGTGATATAAAGCCACGGTTTGAACGTCATGTTTATGTCGGCTTGGGGAGTCTCTTCTAAGGCCACACCCATCTGTTTCACGTTTCACTTTCCAACTGATGTAGAGCAACATCTTGCTAAAACCTTGGACTGTAGGTTACAAATAGATGTCTCATCAACTTTCCTATTTTACCTTCAGTGAAGGACAAAAAGCAAACTTTTACATAATTGAAAGGACTTCAGTCACTCCAGTGCGCTTGTGTCTTGCTGCTGCTGATAGCCTAATAAATTATGAGCATACTACTGAATCCATAATTCAGAAATACTGGAGAAATCTAGAGAATAAGTAGCATCTAATGATAGATCATACTGTGCCCCTTGCAGAAATAAATATTACAGAATTACACATGCCTCTTATTCATGAGGACACATGACGGTGACAGTGAAATTTATATTTTTACACTTGCTCCGTGTCCAGTCATCATCATAATTTAAAATTTCCTCAATACTTAATGTGTCATGAGTCAGTCTATTTAGTTGTCACTCTCAGAACAGTGAAAGTTTAACAGAACATCTTAAAGGAATATAATTAGCATCAGAATCATAATCTATAGCAAGATACTTGTAAATAAATGTACTTAAATACGTCATATTTAATTTGTTTTGCAAACAATCATATTGAATGTATCATCACACAACTTCATTCACAAATAAAGCATGTTTGGACAGCTGGTTTTTGCTTGAATTAATAAAAATTCATACAATCCAATGATTGTATGTATAACATAAGAAGTTACTTTAAATGTTTTTTAGCAGGGACAGCAGGTGACAGAAAAACGAATAAGGCTGTGAATCTTTGCTGTTAATGTCGCTATCCTGTAGGTGATGCTGGTGTTACACAATCTGAAAGACGCTAAAAGTGTAAATAGACAACAATGACTGTCAGAGGGATTAAAGGCTGACTGACATCGACAATCACACACACACACACACACACACACACACACACACACACACACATTCAGACACACAATATAGTAATATAAATGTTTTTTAAACATCCAAAACTCATGACAAGTTAAACCTATGGCATGTTATCACATTTTTACTTTTTACTTTACTTGAGTTTCCATCGTTGGAGCATGTCTGTGTGCATGTGTGCATGTTGCATGTGTGCATCCACTCCTGCATGTCAAACATGTTTTTTTTAATTTATCATACTTGTGCACATGCTTGTTTGTACATACAAGAGTGTGTGACCTTTAACCCTTCCTCTCTTCACACCGTCTCTCTCTGCAGAAACAAATCAACCTGATCAATCGCTCCTCTTGTTCTCAATCCGCCCAATTGTCCCTCGTTCATCCTCCTATTATTTCCACTTCTAACACCTGACCCCCTCTCTTTTCCTGTCTCTCTCTCGCTGCTCTCTCTCTCTCTCTCTCTCTCTCTTTCTCTCTCTCTCTCACTCGCTCTTCTTCTCAATTACAATTCTTTGTAGGGGGCAATGCTTGCTGGGTAATGAGGGACTCTGGGCGTAGCAATCTTATCTTAATAGCCTTAAAGGGCCGCTCATTAACACAAACACTCACTATGTCTCTCTCGCACACACACACACACACACACACACCTATCCACACACATCTGTCCTGGCACATCATGCCGCAGAGTGAGATGTAGTGACAGAAAGAGAGAGTGAGCAAGGTACAGGAAGAAGTAGGAGATAGTGAAAGAGAGAATGAGACAGGAGAGAAGAGGATGGTAGGAGAGAAGCGATGAGGAGAGGGTGAGGCAAGCAGGGTGAGGAAAGAGAGAGGAGGAGGGGGGTGGGGGGTCTTGTAAATGTCAGCGGTGTGTCTCCTGGGCCAGAGAGACGAGTTTAGTGACAGGAGAACAATGGCCACTGGATCCATTCAGAAACACAGCTGCTATGAGTGCATGCCTGGATCTGTCTTCTGCTTTGCCGTCAACCGGCAATTGTAAAGGCAGAGCTAAAGACATACACGCACATAAACACAGACTAATAAAAAAAAATGCATCGCTGGCACACTTCCAGCCACCCACAATTGTATGTCCGGACACACAAGGTAAGACCTGGACGTAAAGGAGGATCAGCAGCAATGTGGAGGGTTTAGTCAGGGCTGTCAGTCAGTAACAGTCCCTGTAGACTGTGAAGACCCAAACATCCTGCATACTCTGCCACTGCTTCCTCTCTTCCCTCTGTCACCTTAACTCACAGGACTCTAGCCCTATTTTTAGGCCTCTGCTCGAAAATTGCATAGCCATACTCAAGAGAGTCCCGAGCTCTAACTACAAGGTCTATTTTAATAATTTTGATGCAAGAATACTGGTAACACTTGTGAGATGTGTTGAAGTGTGTACATATTGTGTATATGTTACTGGTTAATAACTGATACAGTTATGGCACAGCTCAAATTGAAAAATTTCTAGGTTCGCCTGAAAAAAAGCAGTGGTATTGAACATTATTTTTTTTAAATAATGCAGCTGCAAGCCTAAAACCAGGCCACAGTCATAGAACAACACGTTTTACATGTCCCCACAACATATTTTACTTCGATTGAGTGAAGCAGGCCAGCATAAATGGTCATAAAAATCAAAATTTAGATTTTCGGAACCAGCTGTTGCATTGCTGTATACTAATTTTATATACTATATAACTAAATATTAACTATATATTCACTTTTCTTATCACTAAGAGTGTTCAATAATCCTAATAAATCAGTTTGACACCATTTTGAATAATTTTGAGCAGTTATGATGTGTCATATCTGTCAATCATAACAATAAATGGCTCATAATGTGTGTCTATGTGACTTTGGTAAGGCCGATTTACTCGTGTGCGACATTTTTAGATGCAAGATAGTCCATACGGTTTGATCGTATCCGGGTCTGTTTACTGACTAAAAATCGCAAAATGCTGGGCGAACCCCCCTCTCTACACCCCACAGAATCGTCTGCCATTTTGTGATTCATTCCGCCAGCGCATTGATCTCACTCACAGACATGCAGCAGAACATGGCGGGCAGAGCTGTGCAAAAATCGGCTCGAATAAATCCGTTTTTCATCGCCAAAACCGTCAAAACGTAAGTTTTTTTACCCATTTTTTTTTCTCGTGACCTGCGGCTGATGTTGGCATGCATACCCATAACTTTTGAACGGTTTGAAAGAGAGTAATTTGGACGCCGCTGTGCGTTTCCGGGTCGAATCGTGCCCCTCCTGCATGTGTTCATCCGCCATGTGCGATCCTGCTCCGTGATGAGAGAGCCATAGAGTGAGCGTAGGTCGTCGATTTTTGGCCAAAATTGTGGCAAATCTTCTAGATATCTTCCAGATATGATATTAGTTCATGTATAATTGTGTTTGCAGTGTTTACAATGGCTGGTATGATGATGTTGCTCGGACTTTTCCCGTTAATTCGATATTTAATATGTCTGGAGCAATAATCATATTTCTTTATGAAAAATGCTTTCTATGACACGCTGAATGCTGCACACTCTAAAACAGCCCCCCGTGGGGGGCTCTCGGGTCCTATGGGTTTTAAAGGATAAAGCTGGCGAGAATCTGTATTTCTCTTATCGTCAACAAATCCTATAAAATGAACAAAACCAACAATGAGTTGATGCAGCTAATTCCTCTGTGCCATAGAGGTTAAAAATGCATAAATGACATGTTTAAGAATGAGGCGTTCCTTCTTCAAGATGAACATGGGAACTGTAGTTTTATTTCTGAGTCAATCACATATATAATATTTTCAAAGATCACCGGGAATTTTAGTTTTTACTTAGAAAAACTGATGGTTTGCTCTGTGACTCAATTGGTAATACACAAGAGGCACAACTGGGGCTATCCCACAGTGCACCAAATGTGAATATGCACTATTCATCTGTTTGGGCAACTTTTGCTTAAAACTACAATGCTCTGGTGTTTTAACAAATTATTGATTAATGTGTGGCTGATCGAATCATTTAGAGAAACAGTCTTTATATTGCAACATTAGCCTCGTGCTTTAATCATGGTCTGCCTCCTCTTTGCCTGTATATCTCCAGCAGTTCAAATATCTCACCTCTCCTCATTCCTTTTGTTCTATTACTCTTTGCAA